CGGTTCGTAGCTGCCATGTGGGTGCTGGGAATCAATCCCAGGTCCTCTGCAAGAGCAGTCAATGCTCTTAACTACTGAGCCATCTCTCCAGCCCCGAGCTTCCCTTATTTTTAAAAATTGTATCAAACATATACATAGTCTAGTAAAAGCTCAAAGAATAGGAAAAGATGTACAGGAGAGACCTGTCATCTAGAGAGGACTGAGGTACATGGGGTCCTTGAAGATACTGTGTGGTCTAATACCATGATCAAAAGCAACCTAAAGAAGGAAGAATTTATTTGGCCGATGGTTCCAGAGGGATAGAGTTCATCATGGTATAGAGGCATGACAAGAGGTAGTAAGGATAGACATGATTTTCAGAACATTGCCGTTTAGTTTATTGTATTTGAACTACTAAACCAAAGGAGATAGTATTGATTGTTGTACCTTGTTCTGTGGCTTCTAGAAAGATCTTTCATTCAAAAACGTTCCCTATGGAGCAGCCAGGCTACAAGAGCTCCTATGAGATATCTTCCCAAACTGGCCTTAGTGAGACTGTATAATAGTTTTAAATCTCCTCCTGGCTGTTGGCAGCACAGTTCTGTAGACATGATTCTGTGTGTAGAAAGCTGGAAGAGGCTTGGCTTTGCCACCAGCTCGTGACCAGTTTCCATCTGCCCTGCTGGATAATTTGAATAAAGACTCTAGAGGACTGTGTGACGTGCCTTTTGGCTCTCTCCAAGTCGGCACTAGGACAACCAGGTAGAAGACACATGAACGGTTTTCCCAGTGTTCTGTGTTTTCTCTCAGTGCTGAGGGTGGTACCCAGGACCTGGCATTCACTCTGCCTCTGAGCTACATGCCCAGTCCCAGCACATTCTACTTTTAAAAGCATGTTTGTTCAGTATGAGCTCAGTTCCAAATTGAGAGCATGATATTAATACTTAAATAATACTAATGCTGATAATTATTTTACCTTTACATACCAATTTTTTTTGTCTTTTTTTGAGACTCCTTGTAGCCCCAGCTGTCCTGGAACTTACTATGTAGACCAGGCTGGCCTCGAACTCACAAAGATCCGCCTGCCTCTGCCTCCCACGTGCTGGGATTAAAGGCGTGTGCCACCACGCCCAGCCCCACATACCAATTTTACAAAAGTTGGAGCATATACATAATTCTCCCCAAACATCTGCTTACCTGTGATCCCTAGGATAAATACTGAGGATACTTTAATTTTCAAGTATTCCTAGCGCCCATACGTATGTCATCCTTGTGTCATCTACACTGTTGTACACCCTGCCTCAGCAGACCTGCTGCTTGGCTGCCAGCAGGCCTCCCCTCTTCCCCTCAGCCACCAGGAGCTGTCAACAGAGCATACAGGAATTCTGCCCACGTGGCTGATACTGGCTCAGGCCTGAGCATGCATTTCTGACAATGAGGAGTCTGAAGAGGCCTGTTGGGGTGGTACCACTCTGTGGTGGAAGTTGGGGTAATAGTGGTTGTAGGGTCTCTCCCTCCACTCGTGGGTCATTGGCCACTGGTCCACAAGGACAAAGGGAGCAGAAGCAATGAACGGAGTCAGGACAGCCAGTGAGCACGACGGAAGAAAGCCCTTCTGGGGAGGCAGATTCAGTGATACAGCTCCATTTATTCAGTGGGGGTCAGGGAAAATATAGGGTGGAGGCAGCAGCCAAAGCTTCAGCTGATAGGTGCTCATAGTATGCTTTATTTACATGTGGTATCGGGATCCTATCATCTGACTATAGAGCAATTCCTAATTATCATATAGAAAAAACCTGGGGGTAGTTTTATTGTGGGTAACTATGCCAAAGGTCATGTTCCAAATAAGGTCAGGCATCCCAGCTTGGTGGCACTTTCCAGGTAAGTCA